ATTTTATTGTGAAAAAATAAATAAAATTAAATATGCAGCAAAAATATATCAATCCAATAATTTCAACTTCGATATTTTGTATTGTTTTCCTCAATGTGAAGAAAGCGTTCCTGAGCTGTCAAAACTTAAAGTTGTTCAAGTTTCGCAGTGAAAATTCATTAAATATGTCGAGATTTGGGAGCCGAGAATTGGACGACGAATATCCGACATTTGGAATTTTCGATGTTACGACGGAAAAATGGAAAATAATAATATATTTTTGGAAATTTCTTTCTTTTGACAAGTGTGAAATGAAGCACAATTAAATTCTGCATAGAATTGTGTTTAGAATGATATTTTTAGATGAAATCAAAAGTGTTAAATATTAAATTGAAGTTGAAAATTCAAACAAATAGTCCGACATTTGGGCGAGTGTCCATATAGGAAATGCGTATCTGTTTCGAAGTTGCTATTTTATGTGTCGCCATCTATTGATAAATAGTCAAATTACAAATTTACTATTATCTAAGATCCCCTTTGTATTAGTATTATTTGCAACATGTTCGGTATGTTATTGTTTTCTTCTAAGGCCGTCATATAAAAAAGGATATGCTTTTCCACAATTCGTTTCAAGTCAAAGAAGCCCAAAATACCGATTAACGAAAAAATCCAGGAGTTAATAAAATCAAATTTGGTTGATTTAGTTGTATATGGAAGAAGAGAAGTATGATTTAATGTTTACAACAACTTGAATCGTTTTTCATATATATTCTTAAAAATAAACTGGTTTTGAAGAATAAACGAAAAAAAATGTGGCCCTGGCCAATTACCCTTTGCCCCCCTGCAAAAAAGTCTCCTCATCTATGTATTGATATTATATATACCAACGTATACTTTTGGAAAAAGGTTTTTTGAATATTTCAGTAGTGCTTGGGCACCAAATCAAGAATCCGGCATAAAATTTTAAAAAAATCACAATTTTACATATAAGCGCATACAATCGCCCGGATAAATCCAGGTTCGCCCGGATTTCCGAGGCCAAACCCGGACGAAAAATCTCCCGGCCCGGATATGGCGGAAAAACTCCGAATTTCGCCCGGATTTCTTACTATTTTTGACGATGTTTCAACAAATAACTTCAATAATTTTGGATGTGCTGATTTGTTTGTATTTTTGATATTGACAAATCCACCTTATCAAAAACAATACAAACATCATTTATTGAACTTACATTGAAATCAAGTCTTTTTTGTGGAAATCGAAATATATTTCAAAGATTTTCTGAGGAAAATATTTTTGTTCTGGTTGAAAAAATTGGTAGGCTTAGTTTATCAAAATAAACCACCAAGGCGAAAAAATGCTGTTCGATGCAGTTATCATTATTATTATATTCATTGATAATAGTTAGAAATCAGATTATCAATTCAACTCAGTCAAACTGTATATTCCCAACTACCACGCAATTCCATGGTACAAAAATCATACAATCAAACACAGTGTGTCCAAAAATAAAAATTCCAATTAATAAATGATGATGAACGTTGGCTTTAATATTAGGGAAATTGGAAGGATCGATCTTAGAAACTTTCGATCCGATAACTAAGAACACTGGTAAGAATAATCATGATTTCCAATCATCCTTTAAAAAAATATTGATACAAGACATTAAGTTCAGATAAATAAGATACTGTATCACATTCATTTTCAATGACAGCCAGTATCTCATTTATTTTAATTCATTTACTTCAGTAAATTTTAGAATACTCGACTTCCAGAACAGTTTGGACCAACTCACAAGATTCACTTCCAGTTCATTTCATCTCACTCCCTCGTCTAAATGCAGTTTACATTGTTAGATGACTTCTGTCAACACTTATAAACTTGGCATGTATTAGCTAAATAACATCTACTAAATATTAAGCTAATGCCAATCGTGCTTTCGATGATAAGGAAAGCGATTTTTTACAGAAAATTGAGAAGTATTGTTAAATCGAAGAAAAAAAATATATCTCTTCTCCTATTTTCGCGAGTTTTCACGGGCTTACAACAGTGTGAATTCAGCGGTATTCCGTGTTTTTCATACAAACATTCCATTTATTTTAATTCAATGTTTTGTATCGATATATTTTTAAATGATGATCGGAGATCATAATTATTCTTACCCGTTCAATTATGGTATTTTGACGGCATAATACTGTTACTTTATTCAAAAGGATATAAAACAATATTTTGTACTCTTTCCAGTTTTTTTTTAATGATTGATATTCAAAACCAACTTTCTAATGTAGATTTGTTATTGTTATGTAAAAAAATGATGATTTAACTACAATTATTCTAATGTTCAACTTCTATATATAAATTGAATTCACAAAATCATAAAAATGTTACCAACAATAAGATACAATAGAATTCTTTTTATTTTAACATTAATATTTTACGTACGTATACAGAAATCGCGAAAAGATTTATTTTTATTTTTTGTTTATTCACAAATATATGCCTACAATTATTTCAAATTTATTTTATATCAATTTCTTAAATTTTTTCCTTGAGAGAGTTTTTATTATTATAATAATAATAATAATATTTATTCACCGCCAAAAACTGGCTGAATCATGTTTGAGTGTGTACATTGATTTTTATACATTTATGGTGGGAAAAAGGTTTAATCATTAGTGTGTGCACATCTGATCACCGTTAAAAACCACATCTTTTCAAAATTTAGAACAGAAAACATTTTTTGAAAATGGAGAAAATATCATAGATATATAAATAAGTACAAAACACTTCGTTCGAAGTTCTCACTGTGACGCAATATTGTAGGGGAGAGTCACGTAGGTTGGGCCATCACGTAAGTTGGGCCAGTATGATATTTTGACATATGGCAATTGGCAACTATGATGTTTATATTGTCAAATTGTTCTCTCACTAGGAGCAAACTTTTCATAATAAACGGACGTGCTAACTAGCACTCCTTGTATTTGAGCCAGAACATACAAAATTTTTCTTTTAAAAAAGTGATTTCGAGAATTTTCAAAAAGTGAAAAAGATGTAAATTTTGCAACGACAGAAAAAGGTGAATATAACATTCTCACTATAGTTTTTCCTCTATTTTTATATTTCGAAGGAATTTCCAACATATCTTGTGTAGAAAAAAAGATATCACGTCATGTCAAAATGGTGCCGAGGCACGTAAGTTGGGCCATTTTGAGTCACGTAGGTTGGGTCACTATAGGACGCTATGTTTTTTACAGAGAAATCCATAGAATGTTCTAGAAATTTCGAGAAAAATCAAATGGAATGTTCTAGAAGCTCATCGAAACACACCGAAATCCATAGAATGTTCTAGAAATTCCGAGAAGAATCAAATGGAATGTTCTAGAAGCTCATCGAAACACACCGAAATCCATAGAATGTTCTAGAAACTTCGAGAAAAATCAAATGGAATGTTCTAGAAGCTCATCGAAACACACCGAAATCCATAGAATGTTCTAGAAATTTCGAGAAGAATCAAATGGAATGTTCTAGAAGCTCATCGAAACACACCGAAATCCATAGAATGTTCTAGAAACTTCGAGAAAAATCAAATGGAATGTTCTAGAAGCTCATCGAAACACACCAAAATCCATAGAATGTTCTAGAAATTTCGAGAAGAATCAAATGGAACGTTACAGAAGCTCATCGAATTTTCTAGAATGTCTCATCCCCACCACTCGCACCCACACGGAAGTATATAAACAGGTGCACTTGACCTTTTGACTCAGTCTTAGTTGAAAGCGTGACAAGTGAACAACTAAAAGAAAAATAAACAAACAAAACTAACAAGTGAAATAAACGAGTGAAATAAAAAGATAAGGTAAAGTGGGGTGAAGTGATAAGGGTTTTTGTGCACATACATAAAATTCACAATTTTTATTTTTTTGATCAGTTGAATGTCCTAATCGATAGAGAATTACCATAGCTAACACCCTATAGTCGCGAAATTTTCAAAAAAATATTTTCAAAAAAATTATGGGTACTTTTCAAAACAGTCGATTTTTGAGTCTCAGAAAAGTGGTGGGGTGAAGTGATAAATCATAAATTTTCGAACAAATGAAATAAAAGGAGCAGTGAAACTGAAATGAATGTTTATTTTATGATCAATAATAAAAAATAAATTAACAAAGAATTTAAAAAATCATTCCTCGTCTGAAGTATCAGAGTCACAATGGACACAAGTAAAGTAGTTATTTTGAATGTTGGCACATTTTAAATGACAACAACAAGTTTCACTTGTTTTTTTTTTTTTTTGTTTTATTATTTCTTTGGATGTTCACTTGACCTTGTTCAAAATTAGACTTTTATAAAGTTCTAGATGTATTTTCTGCGACTATAACATGTTCTAGAATGTTCCATGGTTTTAAACGGATTTTTCTAGAAACTTCGACTCATTATATGTTGTCATAAGACAATGTTCTAGAATATTCCAAGACTTTCGAGAATCTTCTACAATGATTTTGACTTATATTCTTAAAAATTCTAGAATGTTCCATAAGTTTCTCGAATGTTCGAGAAAGTTCTATATGGAAATTGACCTATTTTTCTAGAAATGTCTATGAATTTCCAGAATTTTCTTTAGGTTTCTCATTCTTTCGAGAACCTTCTGTCGTTATCCATATGGATTTTTTCGAGAAATTTCTACATTTTTTTCGATTTTTCAAGAATATTCCATGGTTCACGAAAACCTAAAGCCCAATTATTAATAATTTATTATGGACTATGGTTATTAACACTTGATATCTACTAAATTTCCGACAAAACATGTCACCAAATTTCGAATGGAATTTATCACTTCACCCCACCGAAAATTTATCACTTCACCCCATCGACGTCATTTTGTGCGCAATGACGTGGAATCGAAACTATATGATATACTTTCAAAATTCTTTTGGATTTAGTTAGATATTCATTAAACCTACATGTAAAACATATTTGCCTGCTTTGAGCACCGGAAATGTTGTCAAAAATCATGACTGGCAGAGAGACTGAGAAAAACTTTTTGACGATCATTTTTGGGACTGGTCCGCGAGAGCAACTAATTTGCGTGCAAACACTTCGATGGCTGTCTATAAAATGAGCTGACAGCTCAAACTATCCTGTACGGTATATGGTTCGCCTCTCAGATAACTACCCTTGAAAATATGGCGATTTATCACTTCACCCCACTTATCACTTCACCCCACTTTACCTTATTTTTAAAAAATAAGTGTTTTAATAGAAACTTCAGATAGTGAAAATGGCTAACCGCAGAGAAAGAAAAACTGATCATGGTGTTTCTGATTTTGATGCATTGCTAAATGCGATCAAAGCCATCAAAATAGAAAAGAAACGCATCAGACCTACCGCCCGTGCATATTCCATCAGCAAGACCAGTTTAACACGATATGTGGAAAAGCTTGACAAAGAGGTTGCAGATATTTCCAAATTGTCTGATGTCGAATTGTTGGCTATTTTACGTCGAATTGCATCGTATGCGACACCAAAGCTGGTAAGAACGACATTTTAGTTCATTTTTCTTTGTGTTATTCAATGACTTTGATTCATAATTCATGAGAATGATACATGGTTTGATTTTGTTTGATTGCCTTAGGTTTTCAATGGAGAAGAAGGAGAAGCTCTCGTCGTATATCTCGTGCGATGCTGTCATCTCTATTACGGCCTTAGCATTACCGAGTTGAGACAGTTAGCCTACCAATATGCGCGCAAGCTGAATATCGCTTATCCAACGAATTGGGATACTGATCAAATGGCCGGAAAAACCTGGTATTATGGCTTTATGTTGCGGCACAGAAATCTTTCCTTGCGAACACCCGAACAAACTAGTATCAACCGAATCAGATCATTTTGCAAGGAAAATGTCAAGCAGTTTTTCGATCAGTATAAGGGTCTCATGGATATTCATCACTTTGAGCCACATCAAATTTGGAATATGGATGAGTCTGGTTTCTCAACAGTGCCAACAAAATTTGGAAAGGTAATCGCAGTTAAAGGTCTCAAACGAATTGGACTGGCTGCTGCGGCCGAACGTGACAATTTAGTAACAATGGCTCTATCTGTGAATGCAGATGGTAACTCTGTGCCACCATTCTTTGTTTTTCCCCGGAAAAATATGCAGAGTTATTTTATGGATAGTGCTCCTCCAACTGCTGGTGCTGCATGCAACGAATCTGGTTGGATGAAACAGGTGGAATTTGTCAAATACATGGAGCATTTCATCAAATACGTGAGTCCTAGCCTAAAAAAACCAGCACTGCTGCTTCTTGACAACCACACATCGCACTTGTCAATTGAAGCAATTGATTTGGCTCTGGATAACGGCATTGTTATGCTAGCTTTTCCGCCACATTGTTCGCATTACGACTAGCCGCTGGATGTGTCTGTATATAGCCCACTCAAGACATACTACAGCACAGAATGCACTGGTTGGCAAAAATCCAATGCTGGAAAAGTGTTGGACATTCGGCACATTCCTGGACTCGTGTGCAAGGCGTTGGATCAATCAAGCCCTAACACCAAAGAACATAAAATCTGGTTTTGCTGCTACAGGCATTTTTCCATTCATTCAGAATGCCTTCTCTGATTCAGATTTTATTCAGGCCAACCAAAGTGACCAACATCAAATGGCTACTTCGTTTGAGCGCTCCTTGACTGAAGACGAGCAAAGGCGAATTCGTGTTGTAACTGGCCAACTTGGAGTGGATGAACACGAAGAAGTATCAACTTCAGAGCCATCTACATCGACTAAGACACCAACAACAATGTCTCAGTCGTCAAGTATCGCTTCAGTTTTGTCGGAAATTGGGCCCGTTCAGTCAACAATGCCGCAAAAAAAAAATCCACTCGCGGGCGTAAACCCATAAAAAGCACTGTTCTCACCTCACCAGAGTCAGTTGCCAATCTCAAAGATAGACGGCATAAGAGTGATGCTAAGAAAAAGAAGAAGGAACAAGGCGCAAAGAAGCGACAGCATTCACCGCAAAAAGAGTCAATAAAAAAGCGAAAACAGCCCGCACGAGCCGCCGCCTCAAAGAGGAAATCGTCGTCGTCAGATGAAGATGTGGATTTTTGCATGATTTGCATGCAGAATTTGCCAGCCAAATTGACCAACAACAACTCCATCGAGTGCAACAAGTGCCAACGGCCATTCCATTTGAAGTGCGTCAACATGACACAAAGTTATTTCACGTGCCAAAATTGCGACTCAGATGCCGATGTTAGTTCTGAGGAAGAACAATGAATATTTGATAATTTTCCATTATATTTTCATAGCGAAAGCCTTTGTTGTAAATAAATCAACCTTAAACACTTGAAATCTGGCGTTTACACTTCATTTTTTCCAACCTCTTCTCAATTTCGCATGCTGGCCCAACCTACGTGACACATTTTTTGGGGGCCAAAAATCATGTGTTCGGAAATTTGATCATAACTTTTTGGTTTTTGAAGCAATCAATTACTCTCTTCGGCAAATTTGTAGCCCGGAACAATACCTTTCCGACGGTATATAACTATCCGTTATTTTTATTTTGAGTAAAAAAACTTGGCCAAAAAACAAAACCCGGCCCAACCTACGTGACTCTCCCCTAAATCTGGAAATGTTCTGATATAAATTTTCAGTGACGCGTTCGTTCATATACGCATACAAAATGTTAATATTGCGTCGCCTCTTTCACCACAAAAAATATATGAAAATAAATCCAACATTAAGCTCGAGCTATGCATAAAGCGGTTGCTATTTCATAGGCGCTATTTAATTCGTGTGCTAACACCGAGTAGGAATATCATAGCCTACTAT